ACATACTAAATAAGCAACTGTACCGAAAATCCCCAATGAACATGAGAGATATGTACAAAACACGGGATGTACATGAGTTCTGTGGTTGGTGGTTTCTCCATGTTTTAACGATTTGTGATTTCAATTTTGGGTTCGGGTTGAAACAGCTGAAGGACGCACTTCAGTGAGCTGCAGAGCTGTTTCCATCCTCAACGAATTCAACACTAGCCCCAATGATATCCTCAACATTGGTGTGTAGATCCACAATGAACCCACAGTGAACCTTGGTTGCCTGATATTCACTATTGTAATATATGTATATACTTATGATAGTATATATATATATACACCTGTACATTATACATACAATATGTGTATGTATATACGTCAGGCATTTATGTATACGTGTATATCTATACGTCACGAATGTATCTGCGTAACTTCTAGTGACCTCAGCTGACCTCAACAAAAATGTGGTTGTGGTATAGGAATTCAAAATTACCCAGATATACTAGTATGTATTAATATGTTGTGTATTACCCATGTTATATAATGGATTATACATAATATTGTCACTATAAAATATATATATATATAATTATATATAAGTTATACACAACTATATATATATATACACACATGATCTTATATGTATGTATTGGCAGTGTGCTGGATTTGTAGTAACTGCCATTATAGTCACTATTATCCACTATAGTTATGTGTCCATAGTCCCTTTGATAATTAGTGTAATTGTTACTATATATGTTGACATAATATTTATATATATATAGTCCCTATTGTTGTCCCTACAACTGTTATCCAACGTCATATACATAAGTATATACATATAATATGTATATATATATATTGGATCATGGGCAAAGTTCGCCCCATTCTTCTTTGCCATTTTTTTGGTAACGTAGGAGCTCTCCCTGGACATGCGAGAATTGCTGATCACTGTCCCACGGCCGCATCTTTTTTGGGAGGGGAGGAAACGGCATGAACTTGCGGATGCGGAGTTTAGTCAATGGATTGGTTTCAGTAAAAAATACAGGAACTCCCCCTATTTGATGGGAAAATCCATGTTTTCCTGTAGATGTTCCCCTAAACCAATCCATTTATGTAGGGTTCTTTGACCATAATTATGCGAGTCTGTCCAGATCTGGCTTGATCATGTGTTTTTGTGTTGCATGGCACTGTATATGATGCAAGTGAATTGCACATATTGTACCATAATGTAGAGAAGAGGGCGTGGTTCAAAATTGGAGTAATGAAAAATAAAACCACAAGATTGTTCGGATTAGGAATTTACCATTCTACAATGGGGTCAATGATTCTGATCCACACCAAAAGGCCTGTTTTGGGGCGTGTATATTCCCTGAAATTTGGGCCGCACATAGACCTAACGTAACATCATCGCCTCCAAATTAGGTACCAGAGACTGTCACTATAGATATGGGTATATTGCATGGGTCAACCCCTCGTACCCCCATATTTGTGGTATTTGAACTTGGAGTTCCAACATGCATAGGATCCAAAATTCAGGTCATGGGAAGGATCCATGATCTCTGCATGTCATGATGTCTTTGTTCCATTTTGTTTCTATGTGACTCTGAAAAGGGGGGATGCCTCAACATAGCCGACATAGCCATGGGGAAGATGATGCCAGAGCCCAGGATGCCAACATCTATTTTGTGGGTCCAGACATGGACTCCTACAGAGACACCATCCAAGAAGTCGCCGTTCATCGGGCAGCAGGTCATGGCGTTTTTTTTTGGTGAAACTATATGAATATTAAACGGGATAGTTCGGATAAATTCGTTAATACCATTGATAAACAAGAAAATAGGATTGTGAATATTTAAGGTCAACAAGAATCCTATGTCCTATGTTCCTCATTGAATACCACCCACAAAAGATATACAAGAAATCTGACTCAACTGTAGGTCAACCAGGTTATGTTTTCGCGAACAACCACGCATTTTTTGTTTGGGGGAGATGACCAACAAACGCGAAAAAAATACTGGAGTTTCTTCCACTGACTTACTGTCATATATATTTCATGAGTTTACGTCATGTCCAAAAAGATAGAAAAAACAAATCCCCATTCAATTGGTAAAGATTCACTTTTCTATCTTTTTGGGGGATTACTATAGAGAACAGCAGAGAAGCCCAACCAAAAACCAGTCCTTTCGACTCTGAGGACAGGCTGAATTACACCTACCTGGACTTCAACTACACCGACCTTCCCAGCGCATCTGAGCTGGTGGGGGGCCAAAAATCCCGCTTTGAATCATTTTAGCATGTATTGTTTCTCATGACTCTGGTGATGTTAGTTTGAGGTATAGCGGAATACCACATGTTGCAAAAGCGATTCATCAACCTTTGACTTACAGAGGATTAGAGGGCCCATTGCATGATGTTGGATCGAGCTTCAGCCCCTGCAGACTGGAGTCTTGGAAAAGGTCATTGTGATACCTCCATTGACCAGACACTCGGCGATGCGACAGCTTCCCCGATCGGAAACAGCCAGCTGCTTGCTGTCTGATGATCAATCATAATATATCCGAATGACAAGATGCATTCAATGACTCACCAATCATTTGGGCTTACATGAGCTTGCTGAGTTTTAAAGAATTGCTCTCAGAATCAGAAGCTGTCTTTGCGACCCGGAACCACGGGGTATATGGCTTAGGTTTCCCAGGTAAACAGGACAGGATGCCACAAGTCTTTTATTTGTGTCAGTTGGAGTGTCAAGTTTCGAATTCGAATCAAACAAAGTCTTTCCGAGTTTCCAAGCATTGCATTCATCTTGGAATTTGATGAACTGGTATCTTGTTGATTCCAGGTGAAAGGGGGCCAGAAAAGCCTCGCTAGTGCATATATTTGGATAAGTTAAAACTATTACATGACCTCACTATGATATGACCTCACCAGAAATGCTGTTAAGTTATGTTAAGGTATGTTAAGTTGAGGAAGTCATCAAATAGTGTATCCAGTTGTATCCAAAAAATGCGCCCTGGGATTCTTAAATCATCAACAAATGGGTGAGCTCGGAATGGTTTTGTCCATCTCTGAATGGGCGGGGCCGCGGGGCATCGCGGGGCCAGGTGTCACCCGATTTCCCTGGAAGGTGGCCGTTCACGGATTGGTCGCTACTTGGTCCAAGCGTTTCAGGGCATCTGGAGGTATCTGGAGGTGGCTGGAGACACCAAGATGGATAGAGCTACCAGAAGTTGTGGCAAGAGGATTTATTTAGCACGGGACTTGGCATTTGACATCCATTGTGCAAAGATCGCGCCTGCAGCCAGATATTTTTTCGAGCGAGATATTTTGTTCAAGGGAGGAATCTGACAACTTATGACTAACCATATTCAGGGTTTTTGTTCCAACAGTTGAGGATTTACTTTGTGGTGGTCCAAAATCATTGAAAATCCACTCACGAACACTAAATCATATTCTAATCATCACATCCCCATGCTTTGTGACCCAAAAAAGAGGTCAAAAAAAGCGCCACTTTTCCCACATCCCCGTGACGGAGGTTTGGATTGATCCGGACGGTTGGAAGCGCCGGGACGTGATCGAACGAGACAAGGTCTGGGTAAACAGTTTAGGCACGTGGCGATGTGTCATGAATGGGTGTATCTACGTGCCATATCTTGCCACATAATGTCTGATTACATCATCATATATATATAGAGATATATAGATATAGATATATGATGATATATGATGATATATGTGTGTGTTATACAAGCCTCATCTTCCAGTTACCTGTCAGATGGATAACCCAGCCGAAAATCATGTTTGGTAAAACCAGACTGGTTAGCCATCTCAAAGGTAACTGAAGGGTTTGGTGTGTGTGTGTAGATTCGTTTATACTAACTAGCTAAAGGCGAAGTTTTCGGCTGTGGTTGCTTCGGATGATTTGCACCTATCCGGGGCCTGTTGTATCATGGTCAGCTGAAATTCAACTGGTTACTACATGTTAATACATATCTATGTCTATATAAGTGGTGTATATATATATATTATAATGTATTGAATAATCTCATACAATTCATAATAATGATGATAACAATTAATATTAATAATAATAATACATATAATATATAATATGTAGCACGTGTTTATATATATATCTCCCTCGCCGTACAATCCCAACTGTCCCAACTTGTGAATTGTGAATCATCCCACAGCAGAATGACTGCCAGTGACTTCATACGCCCTATTGTGATGTCTGGACTACATCTATTTACAACCTCCTACCTGGACCTAGCCAATATCAACATCATTCCCAGAGTGGCTGAAGAATGAGAGCCCCAGGTGAGAAAGAAGAAATTTCCCAAGAAGAAGGCCATTTTTGGACCTGAGCAGCCGGCATCTCAAGACGTCAAACATCGTCAAACCCTCCTCCTGGGCTTGCGCAGTCGATGATCTTCGCGTTTTTCCATGTTTTGTTCCACCAAAAAATGGAGAATCTATGGGGAATACCCATTGAATACCCTTTGGTAATCAGACCCTCGAAAATCCTCCGGTTAGATCAGGATTTTCCGCCCAGACTTGGGGGAGTTCCCCAGCCGAAACCAGTGCTCCCGAGGCCTACAGATTTCAGTTTGCACAAACCGAAGAATGTGGAGCAGCTCGGTAGGAACATGGACACCGAAATGGATTTTTATGTGACGTCTTTAGATGTTATATCTATTATAGATATATAGTTATATATATACATATAGAAATATATATCCATTATATCCATAGACAATATGTTCAATCTAGATTCATTTCTTATATCTATGGATGCGAATCGAAACAGATTACGAAAAGTAAAAAGAATGGAGTCATGGATGTTATTGACATTTATTGACCCATGTTTGGCCATTGATTGATTGATGGTTATCTTGCCATTTTCTGATGAAACATGCGCGGAAGCTTCCTCGGGGGTTCCACTGGTTCCAGGGACTTTGAGGGTGCTACAGGGTGAACTCATCCAGAACCAGTTCGGTATGCAGAACGCAGTACACAGCAGAAAAAATATATCTTATGTATTCGTAGGCGCGCGATTGCAATTTCACCCCCGCGAATCATGATCCATGCATGAAAACAGTGTGTTTTCCCATACGAAATGTCTTTCTCGAAACATACAATCTTGGATTTTTTTCTTGATTTTTTTCTTTGGAATCAAACTTCCCAATAGAGTTCCTTTGAATCACCCTATAAACGAAGCAGCAACGAAGACACTTACTTTCTCAGTCATCTTGTTCGAGCTTCCATCTGAGCACTGTGCCTGCGGCCACGAATTTATCGGCTTCGCCGAACCAATGTGGCATCCGTGGCAACTGGCATGCCTTCGTCCGACGCCACTGCAATTTCTTCAACAGGCAGCTCTTCATCTGAAGACACCAGCACCAAACCATCATCTCCCATGATGTCACGATGGAAAACAAGACGCAATCGCACAATCCCATGTTCAGTGTCCACGGCAGCCACGTCCGAACAAGGCGGATCCACTTCTAAGGCGTCCACTGACCGCCAGAACTCAGCACACAGCCTGCACTGATGCTCGCTGAAGCCAAACGGTCTTGCAAGCGCAATCACCTCCGACCACGGCAGCCACGCACCCATTGGTGCCATGCTCCGCACACCGTAAAAGAAAGGATCAAAATGATCCTGAGTGACATCGCAGACATGAGTCACGTCCGGAGAAAACAACCTGGGCCAAAAGGGCCTGCCATGATGATCAAGACATCCATGAGCTTCTGCCGCTGGCAAGGGGCAAGCAAATGCATGACCTGTCGGAGTTCGAAAGTATCGGTCTCCAACAGCATGTCAAGCCCTGATTTCAGATGATGGAAAGCAGACATGATCATGCCAACATGAACAAGGGGGGTGGTTTGACGATCGGGTACCTATTCGTAGATACAATACATATAATTACTTATCAGTACCTAGATATGTACATATGTGCATATGGTACGCATATGGTACATATGTACATATGTATATGTGTATACATGTATATGTATATTTGCATATGCATGTTAAATACTTATACATATGCGTATTATATACATATATCTATGTGTGCATTGATGTTAACATTGTTATATAGAATAGTGCAAAATAATACGTATACTTTCTACAGACTCTAGACAAATTCACCAAGTGGTTGGCCGTTCCAAAATTCACCTTGACCGCTGGCCCAGTGCGGCAGATCCTGTGGATATGTGGCAAGAAGCAGATGTTCATGCAGCTTGGCCTTCAAATGTGGAGTGAAGGGACTTGACAACAGGAGGGAAGATATGGGGGCTAGGTATGTTTTTGTTGGCCTGAACATGTGTTTCCCTGACTGTAAGTAAGATGGATTCATGAATAACAAATTCTGTACTTTGGGGGTTGTCCCAAATCTTGGCAGCATTTTAGAACGATCGCACAATAGTGTACCCACGTTTTGGAGGCTATATCCCCCTCGAATCCGATTGATTGATTCAAGCTTTTGATTGAGGTTTATTTTCATTCATTGCTCTTTCTAGCCACCGTGTTTGTTGATTGATGCCTCTTTGTATTTTTCCATGCTAGCCTAGGATACATAAATCCCTGGTTCTTAATATGGACTAATCTGGTGGGTGACGTGTCCAATAGATTCCAAGAGTGATGAATATTTTTTGGGTACCACCGTCATCAATCCAATTCTGGCGATTTAACAGGGAAAATGAATGAACATCAGAATGGAGCCAGTGCGTTTAGGTTCCCGGATGTTTCGTCCAACCCAATCGGACCCAATCACCCAGGTTTTCATCCGGTGTTGTAACTGAGGTCGATTTGCAAGCGAGACCAGAGATGCCAGTCACTGGTTTCAAATGAGGTAAATTGGGTTCCCAAAAAAAACAAGGTGTGATAGCACTGTGAAAATTCTTCAGAATCCAGCTGTTCTTTTTGGATCAAATATCAACCTATATCAACACATATCAACCTATATCAACCTATGTACCTGAGAAGTGTTCGTTACTTGGGGCCCATCTTTTCTTGCCAAACCCAAATATGGACATGCTTCGTGTTTCTCCCATCCGAGACATCTCAGCTGTCGACATTTCAACCAACATTGTTTCAGCAAGGGTTGTGGGCCCCTTGCTGTGTCTTGGCATTCCCTCCAGGATGTGAAACAACAATAATTCCCAGAATTTGTTAAAATATAAAATGAAGATTTACAGATGTACAGGACCCCCTATCTTGGGAGGTAAATGTTAAACTAGGTTTCCTGATGCTTCCTGTATTTTTTTTCCCTTAAACTAATGCGCTGAAAAAATATCGGAGTGAAAGTCTTCCATGTTCGCTAGAAAAATCCCTCCCACCAAGATCATGTTCCACTTCCACGATTCCTTGCTGGGGGTATATCCATCTTTTTGTGTCATGTAATTTTCGGGATAGATCAAACCGTGGTTTTTGAATCTGTTCGGGTCATATTCCCATGCTGCCATACTTGACGTGACCATCCCCACTGACAAGTGTTCTTAGGATCGTTTGAAAGATGATCAATGCACAATTTGGTGGCATCCACTGGGAATATGTTTGCTTGTTCGGGCCATCTTACTCAATTTTAAGATGTTTGAAGTATATATAGTTGTTTTTTTCTGAATTAAGACCTCAACATTTTACTGTATGGTTCCCAACCTGTTTCAGTTAAAGTTGTTGTTTCAATCCCACATTTCTCACAGCTTCCCCCAAATTTAAGGTTGCTGACCTCATCATGGCCTCTGTGATCGACGAACCTTGGCTCTCCCGGACCCTTGGGTGCTGGTGGCTGGGGCACCAAAAATCAATTTGTTTCTATGGATTCCTATGAGTTCATATGTGCTGCCAAGAGATGGCTTGTGATCCCCATGTGGATGGTCATAAGCCATCCGTTTTCACGGTGTCTGTTTGAAAAGCCAGGATGTTTATCCGAAAATCTTGGGAAGAAGCCAAATCCATATGGTGGATCCTCATTCTTCCAAGTAACAAAGGCCATTTGGGAGTACTCCCCTAATATTTGGAAAAGCCCATATATAGCGACCGCTATTACTATAGACAATGTACGTAGTCGACTTGAGCTGGCGATGTCGCCACAATGGCAGTACCGTAACTGGAACGATCATGGTCCGTTTCGCCAGCCATAGATTGGTGGGATCCAGTGAACCCAGGGAATTTGGGGACCACTTCTGCAACTGGGGTGAAGGTCCACAGGGATACTCAGGCCCCGTTCACAAAAGAATGAGAAAATCTTGGGTATCCCATCTTCATCCCATGTGCCATTGCAAGTAGGCTCCATGCCATTGATGACTAAACATGTTTCCACCACATCTTTGCAGTAGACATACAGATAGAGATATATGGATATATGTGGTGGTTATGTCAGTCTATCTTATATTATAGATTTAAAAAAATAAGAATACATGCGCAAATAGTTGGATATGTATATATTTATATATATATACATAAATATACATAAATGTATATATGGATTCGTTTACTTCTAATGTACATGTGTATATTATATTTTATAAATATAATGTATGTGTTGGTGAAATCCCAGTCATCATCCATGCTTGCTTCACATCTCACAGGCAATCCTGCGAAGTCCTCCAAAGTGGCGAAACTGGATGAAGGTTGGGGAATCCGGCGAGACATCCTGGCCGGCAATCAAACATGGCAAACTGGAAAATCCCCGAACTAAATGGAGGTTTATCGCTGGGAAAATCATCGAAGTGTATTTTTATGGGGATTTTCAATCATTGGATTGGTTTGCTTGGGAAAATCTTACCCAGAAACCATGGTTTTACGGATTAGCAAATATTGAGGTTTCTGGTTTAGATGCTCCCTTAAGCCAATCCAATGATATGTGGAATAAATATGTTTTTGCTAATCAAAAGTACAAAATCAATCAAAACCGGCTCTATGTTGGCTAATAGGTGGCTGAAACCTCTGAATGGTGGTTGCTCCAAACAAACGGGGCGCCATTTCTGCAGGCGGGAAAGGTTCGTGGAACGATCCCCAGCGACTATGAGACACCCTACCAGGTGCGAAGAGAGTAGCTTGGCAGCAGAGGCTGTAACCACTTGAGCTTCAGGGGTCACAAAGTTGGCGGAGAAAACCATCCAGTGATGACATTGGATAGTAATGATTGGATCATGTAGGATGATGTTGAATGATTTGGAAGCACCCATGACGGACTGGAAAAGGTGCCAAGAGTACTCTGGCGCGCCACATGCAATGAAGATGGGAGGTTTTTTCCTGCCATGCAGGTTCCATTCCTATGGCATTTCGCCACGTTTGAACAAGCTTCTAAATGCTGCTTGACTCAAATTTGCGGTGAGACTTATCAAGAGGCTGGCCACCTCAGTGGCAATGGAGACGATTTTATTTGCCCCGCGATAGACGGTAGTGATGGCAGACCTAATTTGATTAGTATATATTAGTATGAGTGAGCAAAATCAACCACCTATGTACAGAGAAGATTCCCATTGAAAAGGACAACTTTCTGCCATGTTGCTTTGCCAGGCACACAGATTCGAAAAGCCTCATGGCCAGAGTCTGCCAGAGGCCCCAAAAAATAGTTCTCCATGATCCACATCTCAACATATCTCAACTGGTAAGCCCATCCCCCCGGACAGTAGCTGAACATTTCACATTCCTCCAGGGTGGGAGTGTAACTCTATGACGCACTTATAATTGGGTAAACCCCACTGTTTTGTATGATTATCGACATCAAAAGCGTACAGAATAGGTGTATGATCAAGTCATATGGTTGAACAAATCAAGCCAAATTCCCCAGAGTATTCATCATGTCCACATTAAGAATTACCATAAGCATCCATAAACTGTGTTTATCCTGCCCACATTTTTTCGACAAACCCAGTTTTGGATGTCATTGTTCAATGGCCAGTCATAAACGCAACGCAGCTGGTTTCAAGGCCTGAGTTCCACTTTGATGAGCCGCGTGGCCATAGTGAAAAATATGCCCTGCGTCCGCATGCCTGCCTTGGTGGCTGTGGCGAGTTGCAGGGTGGCAAGTTGAAAAATCTCAAAACAATTGGCATATTGAAGAATATTGAAGATCTCTAAAAAACCATACCTTCTCCTAGAAAAATGGTCCACAAAAACGGAGGATGCTGCATATGTCACTTTCCTCGAGAGTATTTGCCCAGAATCGGTTCAAGAGAAAATTTCCAGGAAACCCTGTCTTTCAGGGGCGAGTAAAAATCATGGTTTCCGCTTTTCATGTTCCCTTAAACTTCTTCTGTGCAACCCTGACGTTGCTCCGCGGCGGAATTGTGGAAGGGATGCATATTTTTGAAATGTCATGTCGGTGGGCTTTCAATATGTAGATGTATATGTGATCCATGATCATAAAATTATAATCATCATTAATCATCATCATTATCATCATCATCATCAACATCATCATCATCATCATTAATCATCATCATTATCATCATCATCATCATCATCATCATCATCATCACCATCATCCTTTTTGAAGATAAGTTTTATCAGATTCAGCATATTTGATCCCTTATGAAGATAAGTTGATGTGATTACACCATGCAGCATATTTGTCATAGGGGGTGGCGGAATTATGATCCCTTGTTAAAACATAAAAGTTGCTGGTATTGTATACCCCAATCCACATGAGTTGGCACGGTGATGATGATGATGATGATGATGATGATGATGCTGATGATGATGATGATGATGATGCTGATGATGATGATGCTGATGATGATGATGATGATAATGATGATGATGATGATTGAAAGTGTGGAGCAACGTCCGGGTTGGACGGAACTTCTTAAACCCAGTGATACTTGGAGTAGGATGTTGATTGCCTGCAAAGTTTCAATAATTTTCACATGTTTCTAATGTTTCTCCCCTTAAACCCAAGGACTTCAGACTTGAACAAAGCCAGGAGAGCCACGGATGAAATCCAAGAAATTTCTCATCCAGGAGGACCGTTCCGTGCCTTGACGTCCTTGCGAAGTTGTTGCTTTTTGAATGGGGAGATGATCTAGCCAGATTGAAAAATGCAAATGATAATGATGTCACTGGCAAACGCCACTTGAAATGATGGGAATTGTAAGTGTAGCTATCGCAAACTGGCCAAACTTTTCAGGGGTAAGGTCATCATAAACTAACTCAGAGCCCATGTCCCAGCAACGTCTTTGCCAAAGTTCATCGGTTGCTTGGAATGGATGGGTGTTGGCGAATCATTGTAATTCAGCCCGATAAATATGTAGATATAATAGAATATACTGAATACATATACGTGTATATATATGTATATATATGTGTATTACACACATAGGTAGTATACTGTACCTATATGGATATGCACACAGTGTATAGATGGACGAGCGAAGCTAAGAAAATTGACGAACCGGGGAAATATGTTATTTGCTGCAGAATCATACATCTGTGTTACATAATATGTAGAGAATATGTACTATATACGTATAAATTCAAAGAAAATTGCAACCCCGTGTCAGCTAGAGATGGTTAATGAAAGGGTTCAATGTTGGGGGTACTTGGGGTTTGCAGACGTATGTTCAAATCATTTTGATATTTTAATATGTATATACAATTATATACATACATATTATGAATCGGGGCTGGAGTTTCCACTACAGAATACGTCAACCCGGGTTATATAGGTGCAAAACAGCTCCAGACCTTACAAATGTACTCCAAGTAGATCCTGGACCTTGCATTTTGTACCCGAACCATTTTATCATCGAAAAAAATGATCTCGGTTTGGCATTTTGTAGTGCTTTCATGTACGAAATTGCACCGACAAAATCGTGGTTTCTTGGAGATTTTACTTCAGGATTTTGCATTTTATAGGGCACCTCTTGGGCTATTGATTGCATTTTGGAGATCAAATGTTTGATTGCATTGATTTTCATTGATGACAAAGGTTTCCAGGGGAAACTACGAGATCTGCTCCAGAATGATCAAAGCAGAGCTGGTTGCTTCAAGGGTGGTTCCAAGAATCGCCCATACAAAATGCCAATCACACGTTGGATCTCAGCTTTGTGGTTAAGAGGCACTCTGAGCATGGATTTGAACTTGTATTGGACAAAAAGAGCACGGACCTAGTAGAATTGGACACACTCGGACTGTAATTGCCAAAAAAGGCCAAACAAATGCACGGCTCAGAGATTTTTTTTACCACGATTGGTCAGAGCTTTGGAGCATTTGAACTTAATTTCAAACCTACACCTTGGATTTCCGACGATTGGTTTTGAAACAAAATTTATCCCACATGTTTCTTCTGTACATTCTGTGCCTAAAAAAAGACATGTTTTTTTTGTTTTTTGGGCTTTTCTGGAGAGGGACCCCAGTAGGCTCTACAATGGCTCTACATGACTCTCCAAAATGCTTGTGCATGCGTTTTGTTACTATAAAATGCAAAATGGATATGGTTGAATTGAATGCGATTTGTCAGCCGAACACAGCTGAACCATGTTCCCACTACAAAATGCAAATCTCATTTGGGGCACCAATGGACCAAAAGGATCCAAAGGGTACCAAGTAGATTTCGCTTCAAAATGCAAGCTGCAAGTAGTAGCACCACCTGAAAAATCGTACCGGATACATATATATACAGTGTATATATATATATATTCATTTTCGGCATGGTTGCATTTTGTAGTAGTGCCCACTAACCTGGTTTTGCATTTTGTACCCAGCTGTGTTTGGGTCCACATCGTATTTTTTAGCGTGGGCATGCTGGTTAGGCGTGACTATTACTACAAAATACAAACCCAAAGCCTAAACCTATATTCCAACTTATGATTATAGTATGTATGTGTGTATGATAGTACGAATTATATCTCCGTAGAGCAGTACCCTCTGGTAAGGTGCTCTACGCTCCTGGTGGCGCTGGAGGCGAAGATCTGGGATGGTTTGGATGGCATCAAAAATGGTGGTTTTAGCCACCAAAGGTTTGGAGATGGGATTTGAAGCATCAGGAATGGCACTGTTAGCATGAAAAATTATGGAATGTTTCGTGAAAATTGGGTTTTAGCCATGACAAATTGTGATTGTTGAAGCAACAATGATGGGATTTAGCCATCAAACATCATGGAATTCACGAACAAAAACAATTTTCAATGGATTGGTCTTGTTGGGAAATTGAATAGCAGAAAACGTGGATTTTAAAAGTTGCTATCATGTAGATTTTCCCTCGAACCATGTCTGGGGTTGATGGAGGTGAGTCCACATTGTGCCTGGGGACAGATCTTGGATCATCTATGGCAGTTTCAAGGAGGATTTGATAGATTTGTGTTTGGTATTTCAATCTACTGCTGAACGGTTTTTTCCCCATCCAATGTTTCCGCCTGTTGTTGGTTAAGCGTCCTGTCCATGTTCTGACCGCTTGATCTGGGTATAGAATATAATATGTTGAGCATGGTCGTGCTGAAAGGGCAAAGGATCTTGAATGGAATGTCTATCTTTTCAGAACTCGTCTCTAATTGCCACAATTTGTTTGTTAGTTGGAGGAAGTCAAACCATAACTGAATTGTGATGTTTGAATTGACCTTATGTCGCAATCTAGATGTCTTTCAACATGTCCACGATGACATATGACGGCATGTTCTTTTGCATGGCCTTCCATGTTGTGGTTGTTGCCATTGGTATTTTATGCTCTTGCTAGTGGTGTCACATCTGGTCACAGGTGGTTTCCCGGGGTGTCCCCTGTCCAAACATGAAACCTGCGCTTTGGAAGGCTGTGGTAGAGAATTATCTCAGAAGTTGTACATATTCAACGATTCTGATCTGCATAAGCTCGGACAAGCGACGGGTCAGGGAACAAATGGGAATAAATTGGGCCATGTCATGGTTTTCTACTCAGGGTTGCAACATCCAAATAGATCAGTTTGTTGACCAACAGGGCCTTGTTTCGAAGTATCCCTATTTCCCACTGGAAATATGCCCAAAGTTGTTGGATCTTGGTCATGTATGCATAAGCATATGCGTACATAATCATTATATATATTTATATATATATATATATATCGTATATATCGTATATATTTGTATATATATATATATACATGTCATTATTTATTATATTATATTATATTATATTATATTATATTGTATTATATTGTATTGTATTATATTGTATTGTATTATATTGTATTATATTATATTATATTATATATATTATGTATTATATATATTATGTATTATATATATTAATATATTGTATTATATGTGTTTTTTTTTAAAAAAAAAACATATATATATATATATACGTATAATTTATTTGTAATATTTTAATTTAATATATACATATTGATAGTTATGTGAACATGAACAAATATTTATATATATATATATATGTTTATTTATTTATTACTATGATTAATCAATTTATACATGTATTATACATACAAAGATCTACGGAGGACTTCCTCTGGTACACCGACCTGGTCAGACATTTTCAGGACTCGCCTATGTTTGAAGTGTAAAAACCATGCTTTCCTGTAGGTGTTCCCCTAAAGCACAGTCCAGAAGTATCTTAACATTTGCCAGTACTAGTTTTCACATGACTCTTCAAAAGCGTAGACGTCAACCCATGGTGTTTTCTTAGGAATCGAATTCTTTATTCCAGATAATATTCCGATAAACACAAAGACTTGTAGGTGGTGTCAAATATGTTCTGATCTAATGTGGTAAACCCAATAATAAACTATCCCCAAAATGAAATCACCACAGATGGATTCTATACGCTTCTATAGACCATCCCCCAATTGGTGGGTGTATGGCATTGGGTTTCTGAGATTCTTTCCATTACTGCCTGGGATAGTAGTTTTCATGGGGGTTGGATGGAACTTGGAACTGAGGAAATCCTGACCATTCAAACCCAGGGTTTTCCTTGACTTGATGATGCAGCCCATGTGGCTTTGTCCAGAAACGGGGTATATAGATCATGGCACCATGAGAAAATGATGAGACCATGTGGAAATTCTGCCATTTTGATAGTGAAAGTGACGTTTTGTCGGTAGCAACAATGAGACTTCGGGAGTTTTGTCCGGTTTTTGGACGCAACCATAATTGACTCTTTGTACTTTAGATAGTGTTGGAACAGGCACATTTCTGCAGTTGGTACGTATAGAAATTGTAAAATGCTGATGTTGCATGATGTTGCAGTATCAGCATGTCTCCCAACTGTGTTACATTTTCATAGGTCCTTTAGCTAGCTAGCATCTAGGTAAACAAAGTAAATATGTTTGCTTGATCGGCGTATCGAGATCGTTTGCATTCAACAGAGTACAAAAAATGGTTGGTGGTTTCAAATCCTTGTTTGTTTCTCACCCTTTCTTGGTATTACGCTGTTTTCATTTGACTCACCTTTTGAGGATTGATTGAAACATTTAGAAACTACTGGCCAGAAAATTGGAACCCGTTGCATCCTTTCGCCAAGGAGTTGTAATGATGTTCAGATGTTGGTAGTTTTAATGCCTGTGACGGCGCGGCTGTTGGGGACATTCGAGCCCGCACTTTTTTGGGGTCGGGCCCGCTGGATCTTGCCGAAATTTCACCCCGGTCAAGTATGCCAGGGCAACGATGAAATTTCATTGGTTAGGAGATGTATTGAGATGTTCAACCAAAAATGGTCATGGAAGTTCGAGATGATGATTGATAGGTACTGCTAATTTTCTCCAAAGAAATGATGTTTCCTCTTTCAGGGATCTCTTCAACCCGCCAGTAGAACAAATCCACATTCCGCATTTGTTTTTGGAAATGGCTCTGTTCAGGAATGCGATGATCAAGAAAGAGACTCTTGGCACTTTTATCTCAGCTAGTGTGGCCCATCTCATGCTCAGTAATTAGCAGAGGACTTGCCAGCCAAAGCGTTGCTCAAATTTACCCCGCAGCACCACTGGAAATGACCAGCCAGTTGTCGGCCATTGGTACCCCGATTCCGGGTCGCCTGGGCCATATGCTGGAAGAAAAGGGACGATTTTTCCACAGCAATGCTTGACTGGCCAAATTGTCCATTCGCCGGATTTCTTCAAGCGGCGATCAGCCCACAGAGTCAGTCAACATGGATGGGCCTAGGTTTCAATGGAGGTATCAGTGCGAAACATTCAAGTTGAATGATGCAAAAGGTTGTCAGAGGATGCAAGAGGCAGATTCAAATGCTGTCAAACATGCTGTGAATTGATCTATTGTACATACAAAGAACATGCAGATAGCCTAATTGACCTCTAGTTTGGATATTTACCCTCCATTCAACTCAACTCGGCAAAATCCTGAGAGGATCATGTGGGTTCCAGGTATGTATATGTAAGTAGATGCAGTTGCATGTGTTTGTGCATATAAGTTGTACAGGTGCAAATACATATTACATACATGATCATATATATATATATATGTATGTGTAATGTGCATCCAAGCTTCTTCACACAACTTGCAAAGATCTCGAGCCAAAAGAAATGTATGTTTCAAGATTGCCTGATGTCGAATCAGGTTTTACACGGTCAAAGGCAACATTCCATCCATGGGGCGAGAAGCGCGCCCTTAGTGTCATTCTTGACAGAAAATGATATTCCCACTGACTCAAGGTGTTGGAAAAAGTTGATGCGCAGCTTGATTTGCATTCCTAGATGTCTTCGTTCCCTGCATTTTGACCATGATTTGCCAATGATTTACTGATGTTTTCTTTGTTTATCTTGCTTCATTTTGATCTTTATGTCTAAAACAAAGCACCAACATTGGAATCGGCTGTGGAGATGTCTCTTTTGAGTTCACCTCCAATAAGTCTGGTAAGTCATTGGAGCGGAGATTACATGTCTACTGGCCAGATTGTAGTCCAATCCAACTTCGATATGTCGCTTTTTGGTGGGTTTACAGCATTCGCAAGCATGGCCAGCCAATCGTCCGACATGTTTTCACGCCTGCAGCGTCATTTCGCGCATTGTCGAAGTAGAGATGGCAATGCTATTCCGGCAGCAGAAGTTTAGGAAAGAGGGAAAAGAGATGTGTTTTGAAGCGGGCATACGATTGAAGTTGCAGTTGCGATTTAAAAAGAGTTGCAAATTATGGGTCCATTTATAAGTGAAACACATCCAAGTAGCTGTTCATTGAGGTCAGAGCTATTCTGGCAGTTCACAATGGCCATAGTGTAACAGTTGTTGCATCGGTTGGATTTCTCAAAAATGTAGTTGTCCATCAAATTACATCAGGTTGATTCATCTGGATGCAGCTTTCCATCAAAACCTGGCGCCTCAGAAGCTCAGGGTGCCCATGGAGAGCCCATGGGAACGACTGCGGGATGGAACTGATGCAGATCGCCAGGCGTGGACCAAGTCACTATAAAACCACAAACCACAAAAAAATGATAGTTTTTAGACATAGTTATCGAGTAAAACCTGTGGTCCCCAAGGTCTTCAATTTTGACCCATACCCATATCTACATGCTTGTTATGTGCTTATGTACCCTGTGAGGTAATCAAACATGGAGGCAGCTGGAACATCCCCAGTTTCGGTCGATGATTTCCATGGATTTCCCATGTTTGATGACACCTGCCTGAGGGTATCCCCATTGTTTGTGGCTAGAAAAATCCATATTTCTATTGGTGAATCACCGTTCAATCCCCATTCTGCTGCTGAATTGCCATTGAATTCCCAATTTTGATGAGTTAAGTCTCGTAAAACCATCATGAAATCCCATGACAGCCCATGACATGTCATTAAAATACATGAAAGTTCCATTGGTCATTCACCCCCATGTTTTATCACCATTTCTCTTGGACACAGAGATCCAACCCGGAGCCTTCCCTCGTCGAGGATCGCAGTCTCGTCCTGGCAGCTGTGGCGGAGGAAGGCATTGCCTTGCAGTGATTGGGCAACCAAAAGACTGGTAGGTGATTAATAGAATAATTGGTGATCGGTGGATTACTAATCCAGTATTAATTCACTAATCCACTAATATAATACTGGTGTATTTAATCATTATTAATGAACTATTGGTGGATTAGTGAATTCGTTCATAGAATCACCTATTCTTAGTGCATTAATGAACTATGGTACTTTTCTTAGTGCATATTCTTGAACTACCAGTAGTACCGCACAAGGCGGTGGCGGAAGTTTCAAAAATAGGAAACCTATAGGAGAAATTGGTTGTTGTGAATCAGGGATGGCAGAGCGAAGCCACTGATGGACTGAAAGGTGCTTGATCTCTCTCACTCTTTCTCTCTCTTTCTCTGGCTATCTACCTACCTACCCATCTATCTATCTATCTATCTATCTATCTATCTCTCTATCTCTCTATCTATCTATCTATCTACCTATCTATCTATCTATCTATCTATATCTATCTATCTATCTATCTGTCTGTCTGTCTGTCTGTCTATCTATCTCTCCATCTATCGATCTATTGTTGTTGTAGTTGTAGTTGTAGTTGTTGTGGTTGGTGTTGTGTTGTTGTTATTGTTGTTGTTGTTGTTGCTGTTGCTGTTGCTGTTGTCGTCGAAGTTAGGGTAGTTGTGTTAGTGAAGGTACTTAAGTTAGTCAAGTTAGTTAAGTTAATCAGTGTCTACTTTTTCGACATCAGCACGTCAAAAAAGGCTCAAAACCCTCAGTTTTTTACACTTTTGACTTCGAAATGTGCTTCGCGCCACAACGGCGTGCACTTTTTTGACACTTTTTCGACATTTGAACTTCCAAAAGTGGTCCGAGACCGTCAGTTTTTAACATTTTTGACTTGGAAATGTGCTTCGCGCCACAACGGCGTGCACTTTTTCAACATCTCAACTTCCAAAAGTGGTCCGAACCTGGTGTGTTTTGTACATTTTGACTTCGAAATGTGCTTCGCGCCACAACGGCGTGCACTTTTTCGACATCTCAACTTCCAAAAGTGGTCCGAAGCTGGTGTGTTTTGTACATGTTGACTTCGAAATGTGCTTCGCGCCACAACGGCGTGCACTTTTTCGACATCTCAACTTCCAAAAGTGGTCCGAAGCTGGTGTGTTTTGTACATTTTGACTTCGAAATGTGCTTCGCGCCACAACGGCGTGCAATTTTTCATCTCTCATCTGGCCAACTGGCTCCGCACCCGCCGCTTTAGCGAGCCTACTTTTCGACCCTCCGGAGACACAAATCATTGGAAAAACACAGTGTTTCGCGACTTTCCTACCTTTTCGCGCATCTGCATCTTCTTTCTTCTTACTCTTTCTCTTCTGATCTTCTCTCTTCCAATCTTTCTCTTCTCTCTGCCTCTTCCCTGCTCTGCTTTTCATCTGTCCATATTGTCGGAAGTTTGACTTCTAAACTTCCTTCGATTAGTTGTATGTCTTATCCGCTATTCATTGATAAAAAAAATAGTGCACCTTATTAGTGTCAATGAATGTCAATGATCATTTGTTTGATGATTACTAGATTTTGATGGTACTAGATTGACTAGTGGTCAGGTGATTCGTGGTGTAGTGGTGTATTAGTGTTATGGAAGATGATTATGGTAGATTATTACTATAAGTGCATCGCTAATACATCACGAATCACTATATCACTACTAGTGTGTTGATGGAAATAAACATAAGTAAACCATCAGTAGTGATATGGTGATGAGTATTGGTAACTTGTAGTAATTGCATTAGCTATATAATGGTATTCATTGGTATTAATGGTGTATAAATGGTGTCATATTCGATGGAGGGAGTGATGATGAGCATGATTTGTATTGGTATGTTGTATTTTTAGTCGTGTTCTGTTCAAAACATGAAGTGGTATGATTATATAGTGGGCATATATTAACCAACCATTACTGGTGGTGCATTAATCAACCAATCTATGTTAGTTAATGGGGATCTATGTAACCCCATTCCCCTAGTATGAAACACCCCTCAAATGGTGCTTGGTAAATGGTGTATCAGTTTATGTTAGCCTGTCGTGAAATGTTGCTGGGAGGAGCCTTCGGTCCCCTTCGGTTGACCCCACTGGGACCCAGTGGTTGGTCATCAAGAAAATTTATATATAGATAATAGATGATAATGGGATATGTAACCAACCATAAATGGTGATCTATTGGGTATACATTTTTTGGGAATGGGTAATCTAACTGATATAACCAACCTTTTTTGGATCACCCGGAGCAGTGTCATCAAACATGGCAACCTGGGAAATCCATGGAAATCCCCCAGAGATGTAGGTTCAGTTCGCTGGGAAAATCATCTATGAGGTGGAATTTTCCATTGTGGAAATACATGAACCTCCATGAATTTTGGGTTTTTTTACTCCCGGTACTGGTTCAGGGGAAATCCAAACAAAACCAATCCATTGAAAATCCCACTTTGTTCCTGAATTCTATGTTTTTTCTTGGTCACATCCTCATTTGTTTGGTCATAAACTTACTGATATATCTGTTCTGTGAAGTAAAAGCAGTAAACAATCCTCATTTTTGTATATTGTTTTTTTGGATAATCGTAAACTTACTGATAGATGATCATAACTTTTCAATTAAGTAAACCATGGTTTTCTGTCCAGTTTCCGTCCCAGGTTTGCTGCCCCTGAGCTTCAAGGGGATCATGAGGCGGATAAGGAGAGGTGGTAACTCTAGGAGAACTTTCATTTAAGGGAAACCTTTAAAAAATCAATGTGTATGTATAATTTATGTACGTATATATATATATATACATATGCACACATACATGTGTGATTCTATCTGTATATATATATATATATATGGGTGCTTTCGTACCTTTTTTTTCATAAACGGTGGTATACACTAATCAGCTAAGGACTTTGCTTTTGGCAGGGTATTTAAGATTGGGAATAAGATTGGGTATACCAAAAAGTTATATACAACTTCAATGCGACACTTGATGGTAATCATTTGGAGTTTCAGTAAGTGTCACAACCATTGGTGGTTATAACCATCATAAATTGGGTTGTAAAGTTCCAGGAACTATGGCCCTAACTGGAACAGCACCATCCGACCAGGTTGTTTTAGCAGCAATCCAGCAGGACGGATCCGGCATGATCCGGCGACCACTGTGCCTAGGGGTGATGCTGTTATGGTGGAGAAATACCCAATAGAGTGGAGGACCTCTGCGAACCTAATATATGCACCATATGTGCACCATTTCAAGGTGAGGCGTTAAATGTGAAATGATAAATGGTTGCGCATGTACTGGAACGGTGTTTGGAAGGCTACCGTTCATCATTTTTCATAGAATCGAAATGGTCGTTTTCTAAGTCATGGGGGGAAACTTCATCCAAATGGATGACCAGAATTGTAGCATTGAAACCGGTGACCGCCGGTGATGTGGGGATTTTTCAATACGCCTTGCATCTTTTAGGACCCCGATGCCTTGCAATACGCCTCGGACTCCTTGCGACGCTGTCGGGAGGTGGGACGGGAGGCCAGGGTTCAGGGGTCATGGCCAGTTTTTTCCATGGGGTTTTGGGCTACTGACGCTACTGTGCCAGACTGCCAGGTATTTTCAAGAAACCATTGAAGCAATGGGGAGATTCCCAGAAATCGAGAGTTCGCCAACAGACAAATTGCGGGGAGATACCGGCAACTGGCCAAAAGATGAGGATATGCAGATAGTCATACGGGTCAAAGTCTTAAACCCAGGGGACCACAGATCAACTACTGTAGTTACATCGATTTATATTATGTGTGTTTAAAGTGTCAGCCAAAATTGATGCCTGAATTTTGACCCATACCTATCACCGCATACATAGGAATATCACATGTTGAATATTGATGTTATGCAGTGATTGGGGATATGACCAACAAATGGGATATCATTAACTATCGAATAACAAAAACATGTTTGACAAATTTTGCAGACACAAAAGTGGGGATATTGACAGGGGGTGCATCAAAATAAAGAATGCAACATTATTTAAATGTTCGAAGTAGAGATGTAACCAACCATAAGAGTGGGGTGATTTCAATATCGTTAGGGATTTCATTGAATAGTGAATTTGACATGAATTAGCCACAATTGACCATTCACAATGGAGTTATAAGCAACCAAACGATGGTGTTTTGACCCCAACTCTGGTTCAATGAATCCAAGCAACGGTTGCGCGGGCTCCCGTTCGTCCGTTGTGACTCACCAGGGCTGCTGCTGTTGACCCACAAGAAATGGGATACCGTAGAACATGATAGAATCGTTGATACCATGGTCAAGTTAGGAAAAACTCTGTCCGACTGGGGTACAGGAATGTCTTGACTCCACTTTGATAGGGGTTTAAAATACTCCATTTTTTCGGGGATTCCCAAAAATGGTATGGATGACCATGATGAAGCATATAATACTTAACAGTAATTAATATATATATATACATATCATATATCTATATTTTCTATATACCAGCTTTTGACCCACACATCACAGCAACTCAGGGGTCAAACTTTGAGGCAGTTGAATTCGGTACATCAACTCCTTTTTGGGTACTTGGTCTCTCTTCCATTTGGCTCCGGCCTTGAGATGTTCACCCCTTCAATCGATTTCATGGAAGTAAGAGGAAGTCATGCTTTCTATTTCTACAATAAACATCATATGAACATATAATGTATGAATAGGGCCGTAAGGGAATGTAGTGCACGAATATACATGTTTCTGGTGAGCCAATATCCTCACTAGCTACCTTTGTGTGCCTGGAAATGGCCAGTCGAAAATCCGCGCGGTTTTCCTATGAAAAATGGTCCTTTCTTAAGAGTTCAGGATACCACAAAGTTGGGTTTTTCTTTGGTGCCTAGGGTGGAAAGGCTGGAAGGAGTTCAGTGGCTTGTTTGGTCAAAGCGAGGCACTCGTTTAGGACGACCAACTGGGGCGATTTTTGGAGATATCCATTTTAAGGGAGGGATTGACAATTGACACCAGTATATTACTGGATTTGCTTGGAGTTTACCATCCCCCCAATTGACAGTTTGACCCTGACGAAAGTTGATTTTTTGATGAAAAATTGTATTTCAAGCAAGAACTCATGGCAGGGTTGTCATGTTTGCTAGGAGGGTGGCATATCGTTTAAAGCCTCCTTGGTTGTGGCTAAGCTATCTCCCATTTTGCCCGGTGCTGGGTGTTTGGTGTACCAAATGTCGGATCACCCGCAAAGTCTGGTCGAGAGGTACTGGGATGTGCATAATCTTGCCGCTAGTCCACATGTAAATGGATTATCTAGGATTGATTCTAGGAAGTAATGATACTGTATCATCTATAGCAGTTGAGCAGCTCCTAACGCTAGCCGCTAATATACTAATGTGGGGATGAGTCAAAAGCCATGAATTACCTTGTCTTTTGTCTCATTGTGATTGGGCACATCTGTAAATCCCGGCTATTTTGATGTAAAAAATCAGGGGATTCCATGGGTTTTGGCAGGTCGTAGCTGCAGCAGTGGAGGGCGCAGGCGGGTTCTATCCGGAAGATGCAGCTGGATAGACGTACATAGTATGACATACTTGTAGTATGACTATGTAATATGGGAATGTCTTAATTGGAACATCTATAACATCAGGGATTAAACCATTGCTTGGGGATTAGTGTTGTTGGAATAATTTTAGGGAATTAATAATTAATCATTGTGGCAATTAATGGAGCTATGATATTGATATATATTGATATATATTGATATATATATATGTAAATTGATATATATATATATATGTAAATTGATATATATATATATATGTATTATAACATAACGGAATACGTAGCAAACCATTTGATTTTTTGGGTGTGTTTCAAACAGATTATACCTCAAAATTGCTGTTTTTTTCTGGTGAAAATGATGATGATGATGATGATGATGATGAACCATGAAAATTGAAGGTGTAGCCTATTTCACAGAAACCCATATTATATGATCCCATATGGGGATGTCTTAAAATAGTGGATCTAGTGGATCCCAAATCCCAGGATCAGCCAAACGGTCATGTTTAATTACCGCAAAATTTGGCCCCATGTTTTTCTTTCGAACCTTCAATGGATTGGTTTAAGGGAGTTTTTGCAGAAAAAAACATATTTCATATTTTCATGGAAAAAAACAAAATCAAGGTGTCCTGCAAATTTCCCTTAAGCCAATTCATTTAAAGCGAGTTTCGAGATGTTTCAAGGATCGCAAATTGCGCTTTGCGCAGGCAGTTCCCTGCAATTTGCTGATCCGAGCCTATGGGAGGATGGGCTCCAAATCACTGGATTCTTCACATTGCTGATCTTCATAACGAACATGAAATATACACGCATACAGTCACATAAACACCACATCGGTTTGTTTGCTCATCACACTGGTTAATATTGATTTCTTCATATTTTTTCATATTGATTTCTTCTATTTCATTGATATTGAGATTGATTTATCCACGTGTCAACGCCGCCACAGCTCCAAACCCAGCTTTGGCTTTGCAGAATATGAGCAGTGACCAAAACTTTTGTTGATTGATGTTGATTGTTTATATACTGCAAAATCTATAAGCAATACGGCCTTGTTTAGTGGGGACCCTATATGGGAACCCTTTTCTCAACCCGTACAAAGGAATGACTGTGCTGGCTTTGAAACCTCTATAGTCTAATGATGTCCAATGTGTATGTAATATATATATATATATTATACATTTATACCATACATTGATATACAATCCTGAAGCAGATAGAATGTGGGATGTTCAAAGATATTGTTTGAAAATTCCATAATCAATCTACTTCAAGATGATTATATATATATACACAACTGGGATCAATTGTGTATATTTCATATTTACCCTCTGGCTATTTCACATAGCGAACTGGAAATATGTCGAATGATGTTTTATAATGGTTTATATCTAGAAATGGGCAATTTTCCAAAGCTATGGGTAATAACTGAGTGATGGAACTGCCAGTTCATAGGTTCATTTCCTTACCAGAGGAAAAGTGAGTGAAATGACCATGGCTTTTGATCCGCAGGACCGATCCTTCCTCCTGCCCGCTGTGAAGAGGGATGGCCGGCTCCTACGGCTGGCACCGGCAGGGTAGGGGAGCCCATTTTTCTTGGGGCAAAGATTCAGGTCCTGGGGAACCATTGGGTTATGATGGCCAGGGCAAAATCATGGAAATTAATGGTGCAAAATAATGATCAACCCTCACCTTAGTTTCTTAGATAAATTCTGAAAATCCTAGTAAAATGATATAACCTTCACCTTTCTCTTGGGTCAAGTCCCATCATTCCCGTTGTGTATTGCCTGGTCCGAGGATACAGGACAGAGAGTTGGTCCTGTCCTCAGAGGGACGGCTTATCTTCCCATGACTTCGGTCGGATGGTCATCAATCCAACAGGGTTTATATAAGAAACCATATCCAGTCATTGGGTGTATAAATATCAATGGGAATTTTTAACCCTGAAGCATGTTGGATCAGCATCAGCATCAATCCAAGCCTGGGAATCCCATGAACATCCATGAACCATGTCTAGTTGTAGTACATGAATATACATTATATACATGAGTAATACATGAATCCCAATCACCAATTTATGATGGGATGACCTTAAAGCCCACGTAATGTAACTTGACGTGGCACATGCGTAATCATATGTCTATGTGAGTTACGGTCAAAATGGTTGAAGACCACTGTAGGATTGCAGGAGATGTGCACGAAACACTGTAAAGCGATAGGCCCCCCCTCCAAAAGCGATAATAGCACCAAAACTCTGGAAAGCGATATGGCCTGCCAAAAAAAGCGATAACCGATAATGGCAACTACTGAGATATAGAGGATTTTGACGGGAGCTCATATAACAAGGGGATCATGCGGATACTTACAATCATTATGATGACTAAGATTGCCTCAGCAATGGCCATGGAGAATGGCCGGCCATGCTGAGCGTTTGCCTTGGGTTTCACAGTAAGAATGTCGCAATGCCCAATTGTTTGGGTCCATTAAGTATCCCAATTTTGACTCGTAGTATGGGATCTCAAGATGAACTCATGCCTTGGCTATCCTTGGCTCCAATACATTGATTGATAGTGATTTGATAGGGGATATAAGCATCAAGCAGGGGTTTTAACATGTTTTGACCATCAAAAATATGGGGATTGTCTGATACATTATGGAATATAGAGCCCCGAGTATCATAATCTGTTATGATAATTCCCATTGACCAACCATGATTTTGCGTTTTCCAGCCGGTTTTTGACATTGCTCAAGTGGTGAAGGGTGTTTGTCGATAGTATGAAACTGATCAGTATGTGTCAAAGTTGGTAAGATAGAGACATGCATGGCTTAGGAATAAAAATCATCGAAATCTACTGTATGTATCCCTCATTTCTTGAGTTGCGACCTATTCATGATTTTAGATCAGTTTACATCTCAAAAAAAAGACGCCCATCAATAGATAGAAAAGTCTGTCCAGGCTGTTCCAACTTGATATTTTCCCACAAATTGGTCCGAGGGAAGATTGACAGGAAACCGCTGTCGTTGCCTGGTCATTCCATGGTTTCCTGTGGATTTTCCATCGAACCCAGTGATGTATACATCATAATTTCATATAATTTCCAAGTGCACAATTTCCAAGTGCCCGGCTTGTCAGTCACATCCCAAAATATTCTTGCTTGCCCTCCGGAAATCTGAAATCTGGAAACCACTTAATTTGCAGATTTGAGTTTCCTTTGCAAAACAAACTGGGATGTTTCATGGCCGGGAAAAAAAAAGACATTGGCAGATGTTGGGCTCCAGAGGTTTCGATCTTGATCGCCCGGTTTTTGTTCTCCAGAGATTTCGGTGTTGGTAAAATCCCAATTTCTGGAGATGTCAGCCACAAAGGGAAGACTTCAAGGAGATTTTACCAAACCAAAAACCCTTCTCCAAACCCAAAATTCCTCCTCCGGGAAGAGAAGATGATTATATACCAACTATATCCTCATAGGTCTTAGAGTCAGTTTGCGGTCAGTTTGCGTTCATTTCCTCCAACTATATCCATTATTTCTATGCCGGTTCATTTCCTCCAGAGGATATAGTTCTCAGCCACAAAAAAATCCAGCGTAGGTCTTAGAAGCAGTTCGTCAGGACGTGGCGGTATTTCGCCAGTGGTGAAGACCTCGGAAACCATCAACTGATAGGCATTTACCCGAGCTGGTTATGACTCATATAGCGAACTGGAAAATCACCATGTTTAAGAACGGTAAATATGAATCATGCCTCATCCATCATAAATGGGCCATATACCACAAAGATACCCTCTGGTTATTTAACATAGCTATAGAAGCCATGACCCATTTATAGATGATGCACCTATTAAAAGTGATGATTTTCCAAGACTATGTTAAATAACCAGAGCGTAATTCATTTAATATCATGGGATTAAGGGATATAATGATATATAATGTACATAACCAAATATATAAAATAGATAATCCAAAGTTTGGAGCATATACAAGGTGGTGCACAACAAATTATGTTTGTTGGTGTATATATATACATATACATATATTACATAAAACCGAGTATGGATTCCATGGATACATCTACAATAAACACTAGCTAAACTAAACCAAGTTAGCTAGGGCACCACCTGGCAATGCGATGGTGTTCCACAACAGTTGTGGGGGTGATTCAACCCATACACATGCATCTGGGTGATCTGTGTAAACGACTTCACTAGAATTTTAACAGAGAAGCATTTCCCACAAAAATATCCTGATTTCAGGCTTGTGAATTGTCACAATGCAGCCACATGAATGGAAGAACTGGAAACTTGACCCTTTTGGGATCCCCTTGATACCAAAGCAAACTCCCAGTTCCTAGTCCCATGATTCTTTCTTTTTGAAATTCGACCAAGATTGATTCATTGTGGAAATGTGTTCGCCCCGGCCCCAAATTGCTAAATTCATCTAAATTCAATAGGTTGGTTAAAAGGAACATCTACAGGAAACCATCGTTTTCCCAGCAACAAACCTTCAGAGTCTTGGTTTTAACATTGTTTTCCAACATAGAGTCAGCAGCAGTTTGAAGGGTAGATCTTTGTGATGCACGCGGAGAGACAGCCTGAAGGATTGGTGGTGTCAAAGCAAGTCTGTGTGTGTGTTGTTTTCAATCATGCTTGAGAGACATGTCTGAAAATGGGGTATGCCCCCAAATAACAACGTTGATGCCGAAAATAGTGATAAACCACTGGAAGTTCGGGCTTCAGACAAACCCGAGATGATGAATATCTTTGCCAAAATTTGGGTTTCAACATGTTTCAAACAAAAAATAGGCTACCCCAGTCCATCCAATGCTTAATCCCCATGTTCATCCACTTTCGCAGATCTTCCCTATGAACATGGCCATATCTTGGAGCGGGCTGGCCCAGCGACAGGACGCAGATGCCTTGGAATTTGCCTCCGAGTCAATGAGGGCTGACAAAGAGGCCTGGGGATGCTTCAAAAATATTAAGCCCTATATATGGGACCGCAGATGGTTTTTAGGATTAATGTTTAATATTCACCATCCAATTTTTGCAGTATCCAATGTTGACCCGTATATTCTGCAGTATTTTTTTATATATATATATACAATATATAAGTGTATAATTAGTTTTATAATTCTGTATACTTGTATACTGGTATAATATTATTTACTTATTTGATATTATATACTCATGTATAATATTATATAATATTTTGATATAATTATACAAACATATTTATTTGTATAATATTCTATAACTATATATTTATATAATATCGTATAATTACATTTGATATTAATATAATATGTATATTTGTTCCATGTATTGAATATGTACCATACATTTCCGTCAATTTTGAGGCAGCATAGTCCATACATGAAGCTTTGGGGGTTGATCTATCGTGATATTTTTCTACGAGGTGAGGCCCCCGTTCGATAGCTAAGTCCACCACGTGTCCAAACATCAAAAAACACAGTGTTTTGTGGGACAAAATGCACATGTCCATGATCATGGCTTTTATATTGCAACGCACAGCTTTGCAAACTGTGCGTTGAATGTTACAACACCATCATCATCATCATCATCATCATCATCGTCTCGAAGATTCCCTTGAATATAAAGTTTATCGAGGATGGGGATCTACTAGAGACTTTTTGAAACATCTTGAAGATTTGAAGATTCCCTTGAATGTAAAGTTTAACGGGGGTCGGGATTCAATGATTCCCTAAAAACTCTTTTGAAACATCTTGAAGATTCGTTTGAATACAAAGTTTAACGGGGATAGGGCTTTAATGATTCCCTAGAACTATGTTAAAACATCTTGAAGATTCCCTTGAATATAAAGTTTGACAGGGGTGGGGATTTAGTATTCCCTAGAGCCTCTGTTGAAACATATTGAAGATTCCCTTGAATATAAAGTTTATCGGGGGCTGGGATTTAATGATTCACTAGAATCTCTGCTGAAACATCTTGAAGATTAGCTTCAACACGCCAGTCAATATCCCTCTTCAATGTACTTGGAAACCGTGCAAATGTTGTGTGGGCGAAAGGGGGGGTTGCGCGTTGACTTACAACTTGGTTAGCTACAGTTTATGGGGATATATATATAATAACTATAGTTGATGGGGTATATAAATCCACTTTCCACTGGGGGGCCTCATCTTGTGCGTGGTATGTGCATGTGTTGATATTGAACCAAGCACATCCAAGCACGTCTTTTGTCAGTGAATTCTCCAAACATATGTAGTCAAATCAGCCATGTTGTCGGTTAAATTAAGTCCGCATTTCCCCTTGTTCGCTAAATCCCGATTTCTTCCACAATGTTTGCCATGTTCATTTGATCCCAGCGTTTCTGGTGCTAAATGAGGTGTGAAATTTGCTTGTCTAAAAAACAGGTACCCAAGATCTCCAGGTTTCTCATCACTATCCGCATTCAAACTGGTCCCTACATATAGATTTAGGGCAGGGCATAAACCATCATAAACCCGCGGTCTGGGCAAACCTACATCATATTGTTGGTTATATTATCCCATCATGTTCCCAGGAAAGGGTTTTATAAATCCACTGAAATTGCATACTCATAGATCCTCTATTTAAATGCTTCATCGATGGTTATCCCACAAAATCGTTGATTTGATATACCCATGATATATCCCCATTATCTACACCATAGGTGCCATGGTCAAGTTAGATACTTTATTTTCTCATGAGTTTGCAGATGGCCATCAATCCATTGGTAGAAGTTCATATACGAAATGATCGCCGAGGGGCATCCCATTCATGATGGTGGGGTGACCATACCATACCTCATTCATCCCAGCTAACATGACCATGGCACAAATATCCACAAGTGGTGTGTAGTTCATCAAATTTCAGTCCCCCAGTTCGGTGACCCCAATGACACAGTCATCGACCTTATGGAGTTGTTCCCCACCTGCCCGGTGAGGGTTGTTAGATTTTATCAGAGCTGTTCTCCTCATCCTCCTTCTCCTCCTCCTCCTCCGCCTCCTCCTCTTCCTCCTCCTCCAGTTTCTCCTCGACCATGTCTGCATCAACTTCCACGTCCACTTCCGCCTTGCCGACTTGTCGCCAATCTCTTCGCCAACTTCGGCGCGCAGTGGGCACTGCTGGACCTCAACTGCTGGCTTCGGCCTTGCCAACTCTTCGCCAATCTCTTCGCCAACTTCCGCGCACAGTGGGCACTGCTGGACCTCAACTGCAAGGGTCTGAGCACTGGGCACCGCTGGACCTCAACCTGGGACCCTCCGAGCTCAGTGAGCACCGCTGGACCTCAACCTGGGACCCTCCGAGCTCAGTGAGCACCGCTGGACCTCAACCTGGGACCCTCCGAGCTCAGTGAGCACCGCTGGCCCTCAACGGCCAGATAGAATGCCAGAAGATATGCCAGATAGAACGCCAGATAATCCCCCTTGGAATTTCCACTAAAGCATGGGACAACCCGGGTTGTCGCAAAAAACATTTTTTTGCTAAAACTGGTGGTAAATCCACATGGCGAACCCGGACTCCCCATTTTTTGCAAAGGTTTCCTGGGTCAGATTTTTTAGAGAGGGCATTTTGAAAGGAAATAGACAAGCTGATTGAATTTTTGCAAATTGGTAAAACTGCTGTTGTGCGCCGGCCACTGTTTGCATCACAGATGAGTCAAGCAATTATTTGGGCACATTGGGTAGTTTTATACTGGTTGACATCCACATGGCTAACACGGACTCCCTATTTTTTAGAGTTCTGTTTTTGTATTTGTATTTTATGTACTTTTTATGTATGTTTTGTATTTTTTTTGTAGTTGGTTGCCTGGGCCATGATTTTTTAGATGGTCTTAGACCCTCTTGATCCCTGGGTTGGCATTCTTTAGATGTGCCATTTCAGTAGCGCAAGGTGGACCGCCGTTTCTTGTTTAAAGAATGCAGGAGTCCATGTTAGCAGGGGATTTCCAACAGGGATGCCAGATAGAATGTCAGAAAGAATGCCAGAAGAGATGCCACATAAAGTCCCAGAATGTTTGCCAAATAGAATGCCAGAAGATATGCCAGATAGAATGCCAGAAGGTATGCCAGATAGAATGTCAGATAGAATGCCAGAAGGTATGCCAGATAAAGTGCCAAAATGTTTGCCAGAACATATACCAGAAGATTTGCCAGAAGATATGCCAGAAGATATGCCAGATAGAGTGCCAGAAGATATGCCAGAACATATTGCAGAAGATATGCCAGGTAGAATGCCAGAAGATATGCCAGATAGAATGCCAGAAGATATGTCAGATAGAATGCCAGAAGATATGCCAGTAACAAAACGTATAGATGCCATGGTGGGGATAACTCGAAGTAAAGCAATTTGAACCCATTGTTTTTACATTTATGATTGGTGATATAATGCTATATCCCCTTATGTCCCATTAGACTACCAGTTTTGTTGGTTAGATCACCACATGATCCATCAAATTCCTCAAATATGAAGTGTTTAAGGTTGTATGATATTTTACTCATATCCAGGAAACGTGGATGATATATTCCCTTCCCATGAATATTGAGCCATCCTGTGGATTTTCAGTAATCCTGCGCCACCTTGGATGGTTGAAAGCCTATATGTAAATCATGTGCTAAACCGCTTATCAACTGGTGCAGGATTTCTTCCATCTCCATACGTTGCATGATATGATTCCCATGATTATATATTTGATATATTCCCTCATTATTCCCATAGATATTCCCATAGATATTCCCATGAATATTAAGCCAGTTTGTAATATCCCTCATGAAATTAATCACAATTTTTAAGCCATATGGGGATGGGTCGTGTTACCTATGAAATTTCCTAAGATGACTGGGGGAATGTGGTCGATAACTGAATCACCATCACATTCGCAGTATATCGTCATGTTTAATATCTATTATATCACCATTGTCGCCCATGTTCATCCATTTTCATCCATTTATACATGATTTATCACCCATTATAATCTCAGGTGATGTATACATATATATATAACTATTATCTAGCTATATTGAGGCAGTTTCCATCAGCTTATATCCATTACTTATAAGCATCTTAAGGCCATGCCCAGGTCGTCCTGTGCTCCGTCAGCAGCAGTGGCGAGAACCTGCGCTTGGCCTGCAAGGACGGAACGAGATGTGGCAGCTAAAATGAATAGCCTCTGGTAAACTTTGACAGTTTTGCGAACTGGAAAAATATCATCATTTAAGTTAGGTAAATCAACATAAATCAATTATTTCTATACCATCTTATTATCATCATTTAGTTCGTTGTTTTAGCCATAAAAAATTGTGATGTTCCATCTCGCAAAGTGTGAGTTTATGGCAAACTTTATAACAGCTTGCGAACTGGAATATCACCATCTTCATCTTATCATTTTATCATCTCTGGAAAATCATTGGCCCATGGAAAATCACCCATAAATTAGGTAAATCAACGATTTTTCTATGGGCCATGGAACTTCAATAGCTATGTGACAAAACAAACCGGCTAAAAATGGTGATCAAGGCCTGGCTCCCACAGAAGCTGGTCATATTACCATATTAGGCTTATTAATAGATTATCAGTTACCATCATTTTATCAATATATCATGATTAGTATATATATATATACATGCATTGATTGTTTAATTGATGAATTAGATGTTATTGTTTGATATGTGTTTTGTATATATACAAAGAATATGTATATGTATATATATATATATGGATATGTATATGTATTTTACTGCTTGATTGATGAATTTTGATGTGTTTGTACATTTATATATATATACACCGTATATATATATATATATTATTATGTACAGAAACAAAACATACCATAGAAAACCATCCATATCTCTATACAATACATATGTATATATTATATATATATTATACAGCATATGTCCACTGATGTTTTCAAAAACTGGAAGTACACCACGTGGAAAAACAATTTTACGACAGGCCAGGACGGGTCACACTTCCTCACTAGGCCGGTGAGCATAGCTCGAAGAAGTGCTTGGTTTGTGGAAGGATATAACGAACTAGTGAAAATGTTTGTTAAAGCCAAGAAACACAAGCACCGGCATTTTTACCTGTGTAAGTTCTTTGGGGTGCCTCCCAATTATATAGATCAATTGGATGATGAGAATAGATGGGAGGCAATGAAGTGAGTTACAAGCCAGTTGTATCTGGCATATCCCCATTCACAAAAAATTGCTATATGTACCACTTGCTATGGGACCACATCCAGGAGCTTCAAGAAGATAGAGATGTGGTGATGGCAGCCATCAAGCCGCTTGCTCCGTGCTGCAGTGAGGTATCACAAGATCTGGGTACAAATGGTTAATCATGGTTAATCATGGTTGATAATGTGGGAAAACCATCCCAACATGAATAATGATGCTTCATAATTGTCAATACTGGGTATATACTTTATATTGTGGAGATGGATAACTGGAATAATGTTGTAAGCCAATGACATAAGCCTGCAGTTTGTGGATTGTCTTTACAACCCATTTATGGTGATTTTGGGGATGGTTACTGGCATTGTGCTTAAGACATTGTGACCAAACTTGATGGTCGAACACATCATTTTCCCTAGTAGACTTGCATAGCCTCGGGAGCCTGTTCCATTTCGAGACAATACCAATCCAAATATCATGTGATTCTGTAGCCCATGATATCCCCATAATATCCCAGTAAATCCACAGTTTGAATTCCCGTGAAATCCCGATTGAAACAGAACATATCGGTGGCGCCGACTGGATCCGTGGATCCTCGATCCGGGATTGATGCTGAAAACCATAGGGTGTGTCATTCATAAACCCACTAGCTGATCATATTTAATCATCATTTTCCCTCTTACATGGGCCATTTTGTGGGTTATTTGTGCTTCATCCCCAAATTCGACACAGCCCAAAAAATGTGAAACAGGTTTCTTTTGCCAAAAAGGGAATGGTAATCCATAGCGGTTGATTCACCCATTGTAAAGAATCCCGAATGATGGTCGGATGACCATACCATATATACCATTTTTTGACTGTAGCAGTTTTGTATTTTTTCTTGTTTACTAGTAAGCAATCTTCACAATAGTGTCCCAAACACTTCCGCTGCATTGTTTTTAGGGGAAGTCAGTTTTTGGACCGTTGTTAATGCTGTTTGCAGCCTTTGCCAAGCACTCAAATCTTCGACGAGAAAGAGCTGGAGACAGCTTATTCCTTGGCATGGCTGAGACTGATGAAGAGAAATTGGAGATTCTTGGTGATGATTTCTCAAGCATTTGACAGTTGCCATGCGTTTCAAAGTGCGAAGACGGCGTCAAAGATCTCATTCCCATATATATATATATATGTCATTTGATCTTCACCCCATCGAACCAGGTGTCCAGCATGTGTACTCAGCTCACCGAAAACTGATGCGTTTTGTAACCACTTCCTCTAATCATAAACAGCCTCTGGAAACATCTGGAAACCCTGCACGTACTGGACATGTTCACGTACAATCACGTACAATGTAAAGGAGTCCAAACATTGGGTGACAGCATGGTGTATGTGGTGACAGCATGTCAAAGCAATCAGTTTGGATCGACCAGGATCAGCCTCAAGAACACATTTCTCGACTTTCGCCCTGCTCAGGACGGGTCAGGCTGATATCCATCATGTGGGACCCCATGTGAAGCTCAGTGCTTTGATAGTCCCCAGTTCAGAGAAGGGGTGTGGTTTCAAGCATTGGCGATTTTCCGCATGTATACAGTATGATGACTCCCTCCCAGAATTTTGGAGTCGGGCGAAACCACCAAAATTTTCCACTCTTCTGTCGTTTCTTGTAACAGGTCCCAGGGCTTGGTAAATGTCCCCCAACTTGGGGATTTTCAAGCGTCACTTGTTGGTGTCGCGATTCTCCTTTCGGGATTTTCTTACAATATTTCATATGTATATAATACAACGAATTATCGAAGGAAGTTTGGAAGTCAAACTTCCGACAATATGGACAGATGGAAGAGCAGAGATGGAAAGAGTCAGAGAAGAGAAGAAAAGAGAAGACCAGAGAAGAGAAAGAGCCAGAAGAAAGAAGATGCAGGTGTGCGAAAAGGTAGAAAAGTCGCGATTCACTGCGGTTTTCCAATGATTTGTGGCTCCGCAGGGTCGAAAGGTAGGCTGCGGCGGGTCAGGAGCCATCTGGCCAGAGAGATGGAAAATTGCACGCGGTTGTGGCGGGAAGCACATTTGTAAGTCAAAATGTACAAAACACATCATGTTCGGAGCACTTTTGGAATTTTGATGTCGAAAAAGTGCACGCTGTTGTGGCGCGAAGCACATTTCGAAGTCAAGTGTTAAAACCTGACGGGTTCGGAGCACTCTTGGAAGTTGAGATATTGAAAAAGTGAACGCCGTTTTGGCGCAAAGCACATTTCGAAGTCAAAAGTGTTAAAAACTGACGGTCTCCAGCGCTTTTGGAAGTTGACACATCGACAAAATGCACGCTGTTGTGGCGCGAAGCACATTTAGAAGTCAAAATGTCAAAAAAACATTAAAAAAACAATGTTCGGACCACTTTTGGGCGTTCAGATGTCGTTTCGTGTAGCAGGCGCAAGGGATTGTGGACCTTGTCAAAAGTCAGCACAACATTGGGGTTTTGTAGCATTTCCAAATACGATGGCAGGCGTGGGACATTTGAAGAGGACCTGCAAAGATGCATTTCGCGTGGCAGGCGCAGTACAAAAGACATGTTCATCAGAGATGCTAGGAGGTGAGGGAGAGGGGTTGCATTTTGGAGCATCAGATCTTCAGGTTTGCTGATTTTGCGTGACAGGTGCAACATTTCGTATGACCTGGCATCACTTTTTCGTGGCAGGCGCGAAACTTTATTTAGACACATGGAATGGAAAAATCGCAAAACGCATTGGCACGAGGCCGTCAGCTTTGTTCTCCACCTTCCGTTTTTGAAAGAAGTCTCCCACAATTGCTTCGTTTTTGATGTCGTCAACGTCGAAAACTGAGGAAGTCTCGCAGAATTGTTTTGTTTTTGATGTTGTCAAGTTCAAAAAGTGAGGAAGTCTCGCAGAATTGCTGCGTTTTTTGATGTTGTCAAGTTCAAAAACTGAGGACGTCTCGCAGCATAGCTTCGTTTTCAAGCTTGCAGATCGACAGATAGATAAATAGACAACTACGACTACAACTACAACTACCACTACACTACACTTACAACTACCACTACACTACACTTACAACTACCACTACACTACACTACAAGTACACATACAATCAAATACAAATATACCACGCTACATTACACTACACCAATTACACTACACTGCGCTAATTTCATCCAATTACACGAATGCACTACGCTAATTACACTACAGCGACATCAACAACAACAACAACAACAACACCAACACCAACACCAACACCAACAACAACAACAACAACTACTACTACTACTACTAGCACTACTACTACTACTACTACTACTACTACTACTACTACTACTACTACTACTACTACTACTACTACTACTACTAGCACTACTACTAGCACTACTACTAGCACTACTACTAGCACTACTACTACTACTACTACTACTACTACTACTACTACTACTACTACTACTACTACTACTACTACTACTACTACTACTACTACTAGCACTACTACTACTACTACTACTACTACTACTATTTTATTATAGACTACTACTACCACTACCATCACACCTACAACTACAAGTTCAACTACACTACATTACACTACACTAATTACACTGCAGCACACAAAAGCTACAAGTGCAAATACAACTGCAACTACACTACATTACACAACACTACACTACACTATTTTTATTGCATTACACTGCAACTGCAACTACTACTACCACTACATTACACTACACTACACTACGCTAATTACACTACACTACAGCTACAGCTCCACTACACTACACCTACAACTCCGCTACACTACAAGTATAATTCCCCTACATTACAACTACAACTCCACTACACTACAACTACAAGTACAATTGCACTACACCACACTACATCCAGCAGTTGTGGTGAGGTGACCACTGCAACCTTTGCAACGACTCCAAAAACACAACTCCAACCACCTTTTGTTCCATCTGTGGATTCGCTCTGCCATCTGTGATTCACAACAACCAACCTCTCCTATAGGTTTCCTATCTTTGAAGCTTCCGCCACCGTCTTGCACGGTACTACTGGTAATCATATATACAACTCAATACACAGATAGTTTTGTGTGAATATTTACGTTCGTATAGATTGAGAGAGAGAGGTTTAACTCGGTTTCCTCACAATTGGGACATGTCCATTGATCCCAGGGCATGGCCAATTTCCCATGGGTTGGAGATCAGGTGATGGCGGTGGGGGTATTCCCTGTCTGGGGGCCTTTTGCGTCATCTATGCATCATCTATTTACGATTACTAAATATATGTTCAGTTGGCTATCTACTTAGGCAGTCAGCCAGTGAGATAGATAAATGGGTAGATAGACAGAATGATATAGATTTAGATGATTTAGATAGACGATATCGATGTTGTGTTTGGCGACCATTGTTCCATCACAAGCTCGTCAGCCCTGATCTCAGGAACACTTGAAGCGGCGCAAGAGTTGGTCCCATGGACTCAGGTGGATCTTGTGGAACCGGCTGGTGACTTCAGGTGGTGTAAACATATGATAAACATATGCACACATGATTAAGCCACATTTTTTTTGGGAGTCAACAATTATTATTGCGCCATTGAGAAGCATTTTCCAATGATTTTTTCACATGGTTGTAGTTTTTTCCACTTGCCTGAATTTTAGACTCTTAGACCATCCCATTTAGACCATGATGTAAGCCACAGGTCCTTCAACCTGGACATTTTTGGCCCTCCTGCTCCTTCGGGCGGTGTCGGAGCCGGACGCGAGAGCCAGGAGCCTCCTGAGCATCAAAGATGTGGAACAAAATGTGTCAAAACATGGTAAAAAGGGATGTCTTTGGAATTTCAAAAGATGTGAAAACATAAAAAATCGAACATCACTAGTGTCTCTGACTCTGCCCATTGGTTCCGCCATGTTTGACATGGAGTATTAGGAACATGAATAGAATGAGTTTCCGCTGTGTGGAGCCATGGAGAGAACTATCATCCAATGCAGGGCCATGCAGGGCCATGCAGGGCCCCCGCCTTTTGTGTTCAAGGGGGGTTCCACCATGGTAAATCGTCCAATCTATACTGATGTTTTGAAACAGTACTCTATCAGCAAAGGGAGTACCAAGAGAGTGATGTTCTCTTGCCAGATTGACAAAATTGTCAATGCCCCCACAGGGTGCTACGTAAGCCCCCAAGAAGAGATGGTAAAAACGGTAAAATGCGATTTTGATGGTGATTGACTGTCGAGATTTGGGTGATTGAAATGTTGGAGTGAAGGTCTGCTTTGTTATTGAAATGTTGGGTTCGGCATGGATAGAGCGAACCTGTGGATGCACAGCGGGAACTGGGTAAAAAAATTCGATCAGGGTGATGAAAGGCTCCCCATCCTCGCGCCCCAGGATGTTTGCAGAGTTGAAGGCTGCACTCCCTGCCTCTACTTCATGATCCAACGTGGATGTGCTGGTTCGACATGCGGCTGGTGTCACTTGCGCCACGACCCGCGGAATGAGTCATTTGGATTCATGTGGTCTGTTTAGTTTGATTACTTTAACTTCCCCAAAGACCTTGGGATCTTCGGGGTTTGACGATTTCCTTGGAACACATATTGGGACGCCTGGTTCAGAGGGGTCACAAGTTTGAAGGCCAAAGAGGAGCCGACCACGCAAAGCGACCAGAGAAACCTACAAAGAGTTGATTGAGAATGCTTTGGAATTGGAGGCGCGTTCGGCAATCCCCTAGCCCAGGATCTCCCGAAGCAGAAGTGACATGTCAGTATTTGGGATAGCTTGATAATTTTGCATCATTTTGCTATGATTTGTCCAACCACCCTGAACATCCACAACGAGGACGGTTACAAGGGAATCAAGGGACAAGAGTGGAAAAACACTGCAATGCATTTTTGGTTGGAGTGGAAATATGATGAAATTTGTGTGGTTTTCAGATTCTTAAATATAGGATTCATCCCAATTGCATCCAATTGCTGTTTCGCGGGGGTGAGTCGACCTTTAAGCAGATCTCTAGGAGCCGGAGCGCCAGAAGGAGTTGCAGGGATTGGCGGCCGTCCACAGTTACTACCGCAAGGTGATCATTCAAAAGTTGAAGGAGATGTGCCTGTGGCTCAAACATACCTTTATAGACCCACTCTGTAACTGGTCATACTTGGAACTGACCCATCCATTTTTGGTCAACAATTTTGATCTAATGGCAAACTGGAGCCATTGTGGTTCAGTACGGGCAACCCAAAATCCAGTTTCAAGGTGTACAGCTAGGGCAGGGGGATAACTCCATGAAAGAGCCTTGGAAATCTTGGAATCTACCTGGGGCCCTGGGGATCATTTAGGAGTGGAAGAACGAAACTTTGGTGGTTTCCAGGATGTATGATTTTGCGCTTCCTCCGAATACCAAGTGATCCTAATTGGCTTTCATATGTTGAGGATCCGTTCGTATAACGTGCAGCCACCTGATCGCCGACCTCAGTATTCAGTACATAATAAGTAAGGTTTGTTTCATGTTGTTTCCACATTTGGGAAGCCATTAATTTCATGGCCCAACAAATCTTCTTTGGAATCTACTGGAATCTACTGGATTCTACTGGATTCTACTGTATTCTACTGTATCTATTCATACATCAGCCCTAGATACAAATTATGATTTGTGACACCTGTTGGATTCGTATCTCGGTATCTCCCATTTGCGGGCTCGGAGGGTGGTGCAGATCACAAAACTCAGGACTGAGGGCTGAAAGTGGATGAAAGCGGTACTGTGTCATTACCGACAATGTGAGCAGCGTGTAGGCAGATTTGTCGCACTGTGATGAACACCACGATTGCGAGGCCCTTAATCATCGGAAACGCGTGTCTAAAGTGATTTGGCCATGTCGCCTTGTGAAAGGATTGGAAGAGATTTCCTGGTGCTGGGCTCTTCACAATGCGGCAGTTCAGTCTCGCTGCAAGTGGATCTATGTTCGGTTGTAGGCGTAGATCTAGGTTCGCATTATGATGCATCAGGAGCGAAGACTTGAACAGTGCCCTTACTGTAAGTGGCTGTCCTTGATGTTTGATATGTTTGTGCTTTCGTTGCTGTTGTTTTGAGACTGGCATGCTATGATATGTTATGATGTCTTACATGTTGCTCATTTCTGTTCTATTCGCATGGGGATCAGAAGCTGTTCTGTTTCCATCGTCTTTGCCATCTTTGCCGCTGGAAACCTGTGGAGACTGCAGCCTGTCTCCACATGACCTAAGCGCTTACATGGAAGATGCTGGGAAGGTGCCAGTTTGAGCAGCAGACCTGTATGAGTCCTTTTTGAGGTTCAAGAACTTGACCAGTCAACATAGTCTTGGAAGCCAGTTGACAAATGCCCCCTTCCTTGCTGGTGATTGATGGAAAAGAATGCTATACAGTTATACGTTATACATATATGAGATAGTGTTTTCAGTGAGTGTGCACTAATATTTTATAACTAATACAATTTGAACCCCTGTGCGCCAAACAGATCCAAACAGTATGGGGGTAACAGAGGGTTTTGGGCACTGTTCAAACGGCCAATTTACTGGCGTTGATTAATTATGTAACTAACCCGAATTAAGATCCAATTTCAGGTGAAGACGTCCAACGCATTTAGGTCTTGTCGGTTCCAGAGTGATAGAACAATAACATGCGGCTTTCTTGCTGGAAATGGATCCAAAATACATCAGGAATATATGTTCAGATGCTAAACATTACAATTACAGATTTGGACCGTTACAAAGCCATTTCAGAGTCGTTTGCGAACACTGAGAATATTTAAGGGTCATCAAAGCACAACACGTAACTCAACCAGGAGAAAGGTGTAATTTGGCAAATAGGAATTGGGATGAATTGGGTATAGACACAACAAAGCAGTTTCACAGACATTTATACTAGCTGGCATGCCAATTATTCCACTGATTGCGTGTCATGCCAGCGTGGTATCGGTTTGGTGATATCTTCCATCGATGCGCTTAGTGTAGATAAATGATCTGGCCAAATTTTGGAAACTTCAAACACCCCAGGATTAAAAAAAAGTCACTACTGAGACTAGAGATGAGGCAGTACCCAAATCAATCCCAACAGCTTCATGTCACGTGCAACGATCCAATGCACCATGATTTGGCCAGAAACCTATTAGGAAACACAGTACTTCACTTCACCATTGTGACAACTTGCACAGGAAAGGCAGTACTTTTGGTGGTTCAATACGAAGGGCCTGTGTGTATAGTTTGCGAAGGTGAATCCCATTGCCACGTCCGATCTATGGCCCAAAAGGACCGACCATGATCTACCCAAATCTACCCGTGGTGATCTCAGTTTGTGGACCAGTGGGCCTTTCCCATGATACCGTTTGTCGGCCAGAATCGTATGGTATTTGTATCATACCGTGGCAGTTCGTTGTTTTTTTCCGACTGTGATTTCGTTGCTGTTGCTTTGAGACTGGCATGCTATGATATGTTATGATGTCTTACATGTTGCTCATTTCTGTTCTATTCGCATGGGGGTCAGCAAGAAAGCCGCATGTTATTGTTCTATCACTCTGGAACCGACAAGACCTAAATGCGTTGGACGTCTTCACCTGAAATTGGATCTTAATTCGGGTTAGTTACATAATTAATCAACGCCAGTAAATTGGCCGTTTGAACAGTGCCCAAAACCCTCTGTTACCCCCATACTGTTTGGATCTGTTTGGCGCACAGGGGTTCAAATTGTATTAGCTAATATTAGTGCACACTCACTGAAAACACTATCTCATATATGTATAACGTATAACTGTATAGCATTCTTTTCCATCAATCACCAGCAAGGAAGGGGGCATTTGTCAACTGGCTTCCAAGACTATGTTGACTGGTCAAGTTCTTGAACCTCAAAAAGGACTCATACAGGTCTGCTGCTCAAACTGGCACCTTCCCAGCATCTTCCATGTAAGCGCTTAGGTCATGTGGAGACAGGCTGCAGTCTCCGCAGGTTTCCATCGGCAAAGACGGCAAAGACGATGGAAACAGATCCCAAATACATCCCGAATATATGTTCAGATGCTAAACATTACAATTACAGATTTGGACCGTTACAAAGCCATTTCGGAGTCGTTTGCGAACACTGAGAATATTTAAGGGTCATCAAAGCACAACACGTAACTCAACCAGGAGAAAGGTGTAATTTGGCAAATAGGAATTGGGATGAATTGGGTATAGACACAACAAAGCAGTTTCACAGACATTCATACTAGCTGGCATGCCAATTATTCCACTGATTGCGTGTCATGCCAGCGTGGTATCGGTTTGGTGATATCTTCCGTCGATGCGCTTAGTGTAGATAAATGATCTGGCCAAATTTTGGAAACTTCAAACACCCCAGGATTAAAAAAAAGTCACTACTGAGACTAGAGATGAGGCAGGACCCAAATCAATCCCAACAGCTTCATTTCACGTGCAACGATCCAATGCACCATGATTTGGCCAGAAACCTATTAGGAAACACGGTACTTCACTTCACCATTGTGACAACTTGCACAGGAAAGGCAGTACTTTTGGTGGTTCAATACGAAGGGCCTGTGTGTATAGTTTGCGAAGGTGAATCCCATTGCCACGTCCGATCTATGGCCCAAAAGGACCGACCATGATCTACCCAAATCTACCCGTGATGATCTCAGTTTGTGGACCAGTGGGCCTTTCCCATGATACCGTTTGTCGGCCGGAATCGTATGGTATTTGTATCATACCGTGGCAGTTCGTTGTTTTTTTCCGACTGTGATTTCGTTGCTGTTGCTTTGAGACTGGCATGCTATGATATGTTATGATGTCTTACATGTTGCTCATTTCTGTTCTATTCGCATGGGGGTCAGAAGCCGGTCTGTTTCCATCGTCTTTGCCGTCTTTGCCGATGGAAACCTGCGGAGACTGCAGCCTGTCTCCACATGACCTAAGCGCTTACATGGAAGATGCTGGGAAGGTGCCAGTTTGAGCAGCAGACCTGTATGAGCCCTTTTTGAGGTTCAAGAACTTGACCAGTCAACATAGTCTTGGAAGCCAGTTGACAAATGCCCCCTTCCTTGCTGGTGATTGATGGAAAAGAATGCTATACAGTTATACGTTATACATATATGAGATAGTGTTTTCAGTGAGTGTGCACTAATATTAGCTAATACAATTTGAACCCCTGTGCGCCAAACAGCAGATCCAAACGGTATGGGGGTAACAGAGGGTTTTGGGCACTGTTCAAACGGCCAATTTACTGGCGTTGATTAATTATGTAGCTAACTCGAATTAAGATCCAATTTCAGGTGAAGACGTCCAACGCATTTAGGTCTTGTCGGTTCCAGAGTGATAGAACAATAACATGCGGCTTTCTTGCTGGAAATGGATCCCAAATACATCCCGAATATATGTTCAGATGCTAAACATTACAATTACAGATTTGGACCGTTACAAAGATATTTCGGAGTCGTTTGCGAACACTGAGAATATTTAAGGGTCATCAAAGCATAACACGTAACTCAACCAGGAGAAAGGTGTAATTTGGCAAATAGGAATTGGGATGAATTGGGTATAGACACAACAAAGCAGTTTCACAGACATTCATACTAGCTGGCATGCCAATTATTCCACTGATTGCGTGTCATGCCAGCGTGGTATCGGTTTGGTGATATCTTCCGTCGATGCGCTTAGTGTAGATAAATGATCTGGCCAAATTTTGGAAACTTCAAACACCCCAGGATTAAAAAAAAGTCACTACTGAGACTAGGGATGAGGCAGGACCCAAATCAATCCCAACAGCTTCATTTCACGTGCAACGATCCAATGCACCATGATTTGGCCAGAAACCTATTAGGAAACACGGTACTTCACTTCACCATTGTGACAACTTGCACAGGAAAGTCTTTCGGTGGTTCAATACGAAGGGCCTGTGTGTGTAGTTTGCGAAGGTGAATCCCATTGCCACGTCCGATCTATGGCCCAAAAGGATCGACCATGATCTACCCAAGTCTACCCGTGATGATCTCAGTTTGTGGACCAGTGGGCCTTTCCCATGATACCTTTTGTCGGCCGGAATCGTATGGTATTTGTATCATACCGTGGCAGTTCGTTGTTTTTTTCCGACGATGCCTCAGTCTGCGAGGGAAGAAAAGGCGACTCAGGCGAGCAAACTGAGCGCGATATCCTTGATATTCCTTGATATCATACCCTGTGTCTTGGGGATCCTTCAAGGCCGCTTGCCCATTTTCATTGCTGGTGGTTCTTTGCAGTATATGCCAGTATCCCTTGAATCCCTCATTGGCCCCTCATGTTACATTATTTCCAGATGTTTAATTTTGAAAGCTTTGTCAGCCAAGCATTCTGGAAAATGTTTCAAAAATCCTCCAAAAACGAACAGGGTACGGATTTGATTATATAATGGTTTCAAACATGCTTTGATTCCATGCCGAAATCCCTGAGATGATGCTATATAGTATTTTCAGTTGTTTGGGGAGTTAAAAAAAATCACCAGCCAAGTATCCATTTATACTTTCTTGTGTGTGTTGAGTGATTCTATCCATCGCAGACAATACCTGGCAGAGACGCTCAAGGACTCAACAAATCTGCACATTCGACGCCAGGGGGTGATCCTCCACCCACAACACTTGATGGGTGCTCAGGGATCCTCAATTTTGGAGGCAGAGCGGTCATTTGAATCCACTCACTGCTGTGGAACCAGCAATTTCTTCGATCAGACACTGAGAGGCAGGTGGCA